AAGAATTGAGAAATAAATAAGGAACAGGAATTTTTATTATTAAACCAGAAGCTAATTGTTAAGGAAGAGGAATATTTTTAACTAAAAAGCTTGATCCATTTTTAGATAAACATTATGTAGTATAAGAATATATCAGTAATCCTTATTTAATTGATGGATTGAAATTTGATTTAAGGTATAAAATAGTTTAAATGAATTTTAGAATTTATGTTATGCTTAAATCTATAACTCCACTTAAAATCTTTATGTATTAAGAAGGATTAGCAAGATTTTCTACTAAAAAGTATGTAAAACCTTAAAAGAAGAATTTAAGTAGTGTTACTATGCATTTAACAAATTATGCTATTAATAAAAGAAGTAAAGACTTTGTATTTAATAATGACACAAATAAAGATGATGTTGGACATAAAAGATCACTCTCATCAGTATTTAAAGTATGTAATTTTATGTTATTATTTTAGTATTTGAAAGAATAAGGCCATGATGTTGATTAGTTAATTTCATAAATTAAATCAGTGATTGTTAAGACAATTCAAAGTGTATAACCAGATTTATCACATTTGTATAGATCACAATAACATAATGTAGATGGAATAGAATAATGCTTTGAATTATTTGGCTTTGATATTCTCTTGGATTCTAATCTCAAACCATGGTTACTTGAAGTTAATCATACTCCATCATTTTCAACTGATACACCTTTAGATAAAATCATTAAAAAAAATTTAATCTTAGATACATTAATTTTATTAGATATTAGAAATAAACCAAAGAAAAATTATTTAGATTAAAAAAGAGCTCCTACTTTTTAAAGACCTCAAAAATTGAGCTAAGATGAAAAAGAAAAATAAATAAATTAATTTACAATTTTTGAAAATAAACATCTAAATGGCTATATTAGAGTTTACCCTGATGAAGTATATGTGTAACTATATCAGATAGAATTTATAATATTATGAATAGTTTATGCCACCAAAACAAAAAGAGAAAGAACAAACAATAATTATTTAATAATAGTTAGAATTTACAAAACAACCTGATAAAATACTCAAACTTTAAACTGAGTCTAAACCTCCTTTAGCTAAAATTCCTAAAAGACTCTCAACAAATAAATCCTTTACTGAATTAGATGGTTAAACAATTCAGTAATTAACTCTCAGAACTGTTGCTCCTTAAACTAGAACTCCCTCCTAATAAAGACCTTTTAGCAGCATAGCTGTTGTAAATAGACCTATGAGTGCTGTTAGAAAACCTTTATATGGAAATTAACATTAAAATCTAAATCAATCATCAAATTAATAAAAATTAATATACCCTCCTCCAATTGAATAACCCCCAAAACCAGTATTCAAAATGTTACAAATAAAAACATTTAGCTTTTAAAAAATTGAAAACACCTAAAAGAATGAATGATATTTATAGTTATTCTCAATTAGAATAAAATAGATTCAAAATACAACTCTTTGTTTATTATTATTTTTGCATTATTCGATTGGTTTAATGTAATTATTTTTGAGTATAATTTTATAACATTTCATTTTAGTTAATAATATATTTCTTATATGATCATAATTAAAATTATAATCCAACTTTACTTTTATTTAATAGTTTCATTTTTTGATTAATTTAAATAATCCAAATTCAAACATAAAATTTAATTATAAATAAGTAAGTAAATTATTAACTTGAATTCTGAAAATATTTGCTTCATAAATTAAAGGAAAAATTACATAACTATAATGATATTTAAGCCGAGCTTATATAAAGATAAAATGATTTTATTAAGATATATGGCTTCAAAATTTTAGAACTTCATAGTTCAAACAGTTAATTTACACTTTTAATTTTAATGAGGAGAGTAATTTTTAAATATTTTTTTCTTGTATCTTTAAACTTTTAAGTGATTATATTTTTATAAAATAGATTTTTTTTAAATTAATAAAAGATTAATCAGAAATCAATATTTTTTAATAAGCTTTTTAAAATTAAGATCAATCTAATAAGATATTATATAGCTAGAGATACGAAATAATAAATAAATAAATAAAATTTAAATGATTTCTTTTGAGATTATTATAATTATTCACATTGATTTCTACCAAGCTCCAGAATAATTGATTTCTATATTAATTTCCTCGTGTTTATAACAATCGTGAAGAAAATTCATATAGTCTCCAAAATCCGCTTATCCCAAACTCCTTAATTTATATTTAATTGAAATCAAATCATTTTTTCTAAAAATTGTAGGGTAACAATATTCAATTCCATTGATTTCAGGTTTGAGCAAAAATTCATATTTAAGAACTTTATTTTTTAAAGGATGTTTTGTATAATAATCATATTCATCTTTTAGATTTTCTTACTTAAATACTTTTTAAAATTCTGTTTTATCTTTAATAATTTCTACAAACAATATTAATTTTTTTGTAAAACTTTATGAATAAAGTCCTATTTTTAAAGTTTCAAAATCTTCATTGATATCTGCAATAATTTCATCAAACATTTTAGTAGCTATTCTTGATCCTACTAATAAACTTAAATCACTAAATTCTTCAGTTCCAAATACTCGTTTATATATTTCTGAAGATTTGATATATTCAAATCCTTGTATTTCTAATAAATTATGATATGCTACAAATGCTCCATCCATTCTACCAATTTTTAATTAAATAGCCCATTTTAAGAATGCTCCTCTTATTAAATCATAATATTCCCTTTCAAAAGATTAAAACAATCCTTTATATTAATTGACTTCATAATCTAAATAATCTCTATAATTTGGATAATCATATCTTATAGGACATGCTCCTCTAGCTTTAATTTCAAAAACAATAGGATTATCAGATCTATTCCTGCAATCAATTTAGGATCTCAAACACATTTCATTATTTAATTCCATAAATCTATGAAAGTCATCTACAAGTGGCATATTTGGATCTAATTTAATATATCTATTTTCAAATTCCTCTTTGTCTTATGTTAATTGTCTTTCCACAATTTTACCAGTCATTAAGAGTTCAATAAGTTCTTCCTCGAAAATACCAGGATCTCCATCCAAAGCATACATGTTTTCATCAACTCTATGTAATAATGCAGATGTTGGTTTTCTTTATGAGATCATAAACTTTCTTGGTTCATCAGGGAACTATTCGAAAACACCACTAAAATCAGGACCATGGAAGCCACTAAGTAAATAGAAAATTTAACTGAGCACATTAGAAAATGTACTTGTTGAAACACTAAAATAGATGAATATAGTACCAATATCTTAAATTCAAGGCTTTGGCAAATTATTAAAGTGTAACATCTTTAGAGGGAGGAATATAAACATCAAATTTATTCATTTAAGCATCCCTCTAGATTTGTTTTAAGTAATTATAATTGTGGTGATTTTTGAATTCAGAGATTGGATAAATTCCTGGGTTTTTAACTATATTTTCTAATGGTTCAATCAATGTGGGAACAATAGAAATTTTATCACTATTATCAAAATCGATACGATATAAATCGGATAGATCTAATTTTTATAAGTTAGATTCTCTAAAAAAAAAATTGGATTATGATGTTGGATAGCTTATTTCACTTTGATTATCATCGATGTTTAATGCTGATGCCAATCTTTTTGAATGTACATCTTCATCTGCCACTTTTACCACAAAATCCTCTCTTCTAATATTTTGATTTTTTCTTCTAAATACACCTTTTGCTTAATATGAAAAAAAAAATCTGGATTTTATCATTTATTTTATTAATATTATTAATATGAACCTTCAATTTCAACTTTAAATTTATTTTCAAATTTGACAGGTAATCCTATATTGATATTTGACAAGCCTCTATCATTTTAATTTTTAATGCACTATTTCAAAACAATCTCATACTTCCAAATGATGCTTGGCTGGATCATCATCTTAAAATTTCTTTTTTGATAATTAAATTATTGGAGTAGTAGTAAAAATTTCAGGTTTGGGCATAATTTCACTTAATTTATGATAATCTGTTTATTTTTAACTTTTATCTTGTATAGTTTAAGAGGCCTAATCTTCAACAGGTTTATATTGGATTTCTGTCTTAACCTGCTCTTGTTATTGTTATTTTTGAATATCCCCATCTTATTCATTTCTTTTTGTAATTATATTCTATTCATTATTGGTCTTTACATCATTTCCAGTATTATTTATGTCTTATTCTCTCATCTTTTTATTTATTTTTTTGTTACTTTTTTCATTGTTTTAGTTTCGTTTGTTTTCTTTGCTCCACAAGTTCCCATATTAAATATATAAAAATTTAAATATTTAGATATTAAATTTTTAATGGTTAATCTCCGTCTCTAAAAAAGATTGGCATCCACATAGTTGAAAGTAGGTATTAACAGAGTATGGTTGGATCCAAATGAAGCTAGTGAAATCAGTTTGGCAAATTCAAGAATGTCAATTAGAAAATTAATTAAAGATGGACTTATCATGAGAAGATTGAGAACAATTCATTCAAGAGCCAGAGCAAGAAGATATCTTGAAGCTAAAAGAAGAGGTATTTGAATTATCATAAATTTATTTAGGCAGACACACTGGTACTGGTAAGAGAAGAGGTACAAGAGAGGCTAGAATGCCAACTAAAGTATTATGGATTCGTAGATAAAGAGTTTTAAGAAGATTATTAAGAAAATATAGAGCTGCCAAAAAGATTGATAGATAATAGTAACTAATTTTTATAATATTTTGCTTAGATATCATGAATTCTATTTGGCATCAAAAGGTAATCAATATAAAAACAAGAAAGTGCTTATTGAAGCAATTCATGAAACTAAATAAGAAAAAGTTAGAGTTGATAAAATTGAAAAGGAATAAAATGATAGAAGAGAAAAGAATAAAGCCTAAAGAGTTAAGAAAACCTAAAACAAATTAGCAGCTGAATGATATTTTAAGCATTTACATAGTACAATATATATATCTATAAAATTTCTTACATTTTAAGTTTGATTTCTATTTTTTTATATTAAAAAAAGATTTAAAATTTTTTTAGGTGAATGGTATGTTAAGCAATTTAATTTAGGCTGACAATAAAGTTTAACCTGCTGTATAATAAACTAAGGCAAAGAAAGGAAAAAAGAATTAAGGAGATGATTAACCTAAAGAAGTTGTTGCTACATTAGGACCAAATGTTGCTGGAAATGAATTAGTTTTTGGAGTTGCTCACATTCTCTCTACTTGGAATGATACCTTTATTCATATTACAGATTTGACAGGCAGAGAAACACTTGCAAGAGTAACAGGAGGAATGAAAGTCAAATCAGACAGAGAAGAATCTTCACCATATGCAGCAATGCAAGCAGCCAAAGATGTTTATGAGAAATTGAAAACACTTAAAATTAATGCTTTACATATTAAATTGAGAGCTAGAGGAGGTATTTTAATAATTCAAATAAATCAGGTGTCGATACTAGATAACCAGGACCAGGAGCTTAAGCTGCTCTTAGAGCTCTAGCTCGTTTGGGATTAAAAATTGGTAGAATTGAAGATGTTACACCAATTCCTACAGATTCAACAAGAAGACCAGGAGGTAGAAGAGGAAGAAGATTATGAAAAGTAAAATTACATTACATTATTCAAACAAATAAATAATCTTTTCTATTATCCAGTCATTATTAGCGAAATCTATAAATCAATTCATCAAATATAATTCTTGATAAAGAATTTTGATTTTAATTATTAAATTATCACTTGTTATTTTAATTAATGTCAAATTCGAATACTAAAATATAAAGCTAAACTGATATGAAATAGAAACTATTAAATATTTTATCAGAGAAAAACAGTAAGGTCACATCTTAACAAAAGCCATGTTCAAGTTTAGATTATTATTCATTGTAAAGAAAATTGTCATAACGATCACACAAATTACCTGTTGAAATGACTAAATTCGAAAGAGAAAGATGGTTATTTGAAATGATGAATACCTAAGACTTGGCACAATAAGTATGAATATATTGGTGAAGTTAAGGAATAAGAATTGAAGGAAATATATGTAAGAACAACCAAATTGATTACACGGTATCGTAATAAAGAAATCAAGTGGAACAAAAAAAAAGAGGCTTTGTAAAATGAGATTGATTTGCTTCGTTCATTATTAGAATAGTCTTGAATAAATAATTTGTTGCTTCTTTTAAATTAATTACACTAATCTTACTAATATCATTATCCTCTTCAAAAAAAATCACTTTAATTGATTAAATCATTATTCTATAGGATTAGTAATCATCTGAAATTGTTTATCATATTAAATAGATTTAACATAACAATTTTTGAATAATTAGTCCATATTTAAATATTCAATAATATCTAGATTTTAAATGTAATTATTTCATTAGTAGATTAAATGAAAAAAGATAGGTTCTGTATATACATCTATTTTTATTAATAACCTGAAAAATTCAATTATTTTTTTGCAACAATAAAATAACTCCTATAGTAAAGTTCATATAATTGATTCTTAATTAATTATATTTATAAATCTATCTATAAAAGTATGAATTTAATTTTGATAATTATTAAACTGTGGGTTCCATTCTAAATTAACCTCTAATATTTGTAAGAGTTATAAATTTATACATAGTCTTTGATTTATATTCTTATTTTTTGTTATTTCAAATTATCTTTATTGTTAATGTTTGGATAAAATAGCAAAAAATTAAAATATATTATCATTATATAGAACTATGATTAATTAAATTAAATATAAATCAGTCTCAGTTTTTAAGTCATGCATATCAAAATATATAATTACTATAATTTCCTCATAAATTTTATATATGAAGTCAGAAAGAATCTCCTATATGACATGCAATGATAATTTTATATAAGATGAATTCTATTCTGTGTTCTAATTTGATTCATAACGTATTTTATCTGATAATATAGAAAATAGTCAATGTCGACCAACTATATATATTCGACCATAATAAAGGAATAGGAACACCATATAATTGAGGAGTATTTAGGAATCATGTATGGATCCTTTGCTGAATAATGGAACCTAATTATCTGAATTGGTGCCTAGAAAAAGATAGGTAGTTCCTATTGGACAAGTGAAAAGAAATCGAATAGAAACCTTGTTATTTAGATCAAGACCTTAAAAGAAGAAGTCTTAGGTAGAATGTTCTTTAGATACTTCTGCTGCATTGATTAAATTGATGAATAAGAATAGATGGATTAGATATTTAATGAATTTCTATATATGGTTGAATATTGGGTTAAGAATAGGGTATGTGGCTATAGTTATATTATATGTAATATAAAATGATTACAATAATCAAATAGAAGATGAAAATAGTGAAGAGATTATGACATAATTTTATTGGTGGATTCCTGGGTCTTTTATTGGAATCAGAGTAATATTTATATTGATAATCTATAAATTACTATGTGTAGGAGAATAGACTAGAGATCCTAGGATTAAGATTGTTTTTGATACTTACGAGGCGTGGTTTAATAAGACAAATAATGAAAGGGATCAATTATTGATGAAATGCAATTTGATGGTTATTAGGAATAGATAAGACGAATTAGAATTAAGATAACTTTAACAAAAAGTAAATTCTTTAAATCGATGGCTTTTGATGCTTAAAACATATATTGTTTTAATTCCCCCTGAATGTTAATTCATATTTTTAAAATAAAAAAGCAACGGGTTTTTTTAGGTGCAAAATTTTATTATGAAATCATTAGAAATACTTTTCTTTACACCTTAATTGATGTATTTCTTATTAATAGAAGAACCATTAGATTTGGAATTAGATCGTTTGGCTGCATATGATATTAATAATATCTGTTTATTAGTACTCTTAGCTGATATCATATGCTTTGTCTTTATGACACTATTACTATTATGTTTGGGAAATAATAGAAAATATGTTAATAATTTAAGAACAACTTGATTGTACATAAATATAAGTTGTTTATATAAATATAAAATAATATAATGAAGGTTGAACATAAGTATTATTTTTTTTATGTTAATCATTTTTTTCATAAAAATATTATTAAAATTTTATAGAACTAACTACTTTTTAAAGGTTTATTTAATTAAATTTATTTTTGTTTTTTTAGATCATCCTTATGAAATTACTTTATACCTTACTTTGCTCTTGAAAAACTCCAAAGTTAAGATCATAAAAGATGTCTTACTATATTATTGGTATAGTTTTAATCAAATTAAGTGATAACCTTATTCCCATTTAAAATGAAATAGTTTTAACTGTTTATGAATTTAAAACTCATTCCATTCTTTAATTATTAATAGTCAATGATTTTTTTATCTCTTATATAAATAACTTATTTTTGCTAATTTAATATAATTAATAGTTATTCATAAATAGATTTGATTAGAATTTTTAAGTCAAAACTTCGCAAACTATTTTTTTGATTTTATTTTTATTAGATTATCTCCTGAATACTAATGGATTATTCCAAACCTTAATATTAATTCTTTTCTCACTAAATACTTTAATAAAATTTAATTCTAAGAGCTACGTAAGAAATTATATGATAAATAGGAAAGAAAGACTATTGAAATTTAATTTTATTAAGGATTTCACAAAGTTAAGTTTGAAATAATTTGATCAGTTATTTGTATGAGAATATAAAAATATAATATTAAATAAAAAAGTCCAATATAAAATGCTTACAGGCAAAGAAGAATAGCCTTTATTGCTTTTGAGAGTAATGCGCTTAAAAAAAAGTCTAGTCCAATCGAGGAAATTAAGAAAGCAAGGAATTACCAAAGTATTTAAGGAGTACATTCACTGACACCTATTAATTGTAAGAACCAGTAAAGGAGAAAAGAGGCAAAAAGATTTTACCTTAGTATGCATTTGGAAACTCTTTGGAATCACCATCATTTTTTAGAAATGCAAATACATTGATTTGTAAAGAAAGTTATGACAATCCATTTCTTAAGGGACAGTAGAAACCAAAAAGCAAATGGGAATCATTACGTAGCAATACATTGAATAATTATGATTTCTATAATATTTCAGAATAGAAATTTAGTAATATGCCATCAGAAGGATTTCATAATATAAGATTAGTGAAGTATAAATGAAATAAATATAAAAAGTACAGTTACAAACTAGATAAATTTTGTAAAGACTCCTAAAGTTAAGAATTAAGATTATACTTTCTAATAAGCATATCGAACATTATAAAAGACAAGTCATTTTAGACGTAAACATGGTGAGCATTTATTATTATTATATTAATAGAATTGTTTACAGATTTTATTGAAAAAAATGATAACTAAAATGTATATGGACATTTAAATGATCGATAAAGACCAAAAGGACATTTAAGGGATGTTAAAAACTTTAGTTTGACTCCTTAAGAAGTTTAGATACAACATAAATATAATTTCAATTCTATGATTACCAGTCCTAAATATAAGACTTCAAGAAAGTAAGAGTTTCCTAGGGTGAACAAAGCAGATGAGAAGATAGAGAAATATTTCAAAAGAGATTAGAAGTAAATTGTGATTTATGTTCTTTAAGTTTTCTTAATGCTTTGAGCAATTCAATTATTGTTACTCATATTGATAATAAAATGAAAGGGAAAAAACAAGATCGATATAAGTACATAAGATTTGATTTTAAGTGCTGATCCTGTGACAGAAGATTATTAAGAAAATGAGATTGGATTAATTGAAGTATTTGAAAAACATTTAGAGTTTGAAAAGTAATATGGAGATTGATTGATTAATTAATATATTTATAATGAAATTGGCAATATTGCCTGATCCTATACATCGATAATATTTTGCAAATCATGTTAATTCACTCAAATAGATTAAAAGTAGAAAAAACAAGATTGAAGAGGATTCTTTGGGTGTAATCCGTTAATGTAACTTATTAATTATATGTAGTATCGACAATTAAAAAAATAAAAGATTAAGTATCAGCATTCGAAGCCATTGAGGAGAACAAGAGCATTGCTTATAATAATTAAAAGATATAATAAGCAATTATGAAAATAAGCAGTGCAAAACATAATTTACCAAAATTACATATAAAACGTAAAGAAAAGACTGAGATCTCAGATGAAATTGCAAAAGAAAATAAAAGACTCAAGAAAAGTATAGAAAATGTATAGAACAGTTTGACATATAGAACAAAGCATCAGAATATTAGAAAGTCTTATCAATAAGTACTGAACGAATATTGTTAATCGAGATTGCAGTAATAAAATGAATAATTATAATAATGATTCTGAAATAGTTCATTCTTCTATTGGACCTTTACCTGTACGTCGTAGTACACTAAATCTTAGTTTAGTAAGAGAATATGACTTACCTTCTGAATCATTTGAAAAAGCTATAGATATTTTGTCTAAGAATCTATAACTGAATGAATAGGCTAGTAAAATCTATATGTAAGACATTCTAAGAGAGTTTGGGTAAACTATAAATATAATCAAAATAGCTATTTCAAAGCATTAGAGCAACAAGCAGAATATTTTGATTATATTGAAGAAACCATTAGTAGCTTAGAATATAAATAAGTGAAGAAAGGGAACATTGTATTTCATTGTGGTGAAAGAGGAGATTATTTCTATATGATTTTAAAAGGGACAGTATTAGTATATGTTCCAAAAAAGTAAGATTTGTGAATTATATATTTTAAAGAGATGAAGAAATTTAGAAATAAAAGTAAATAATGTTACAAATGAATTAATGTAAAGAAGATATGGCAAATACTAAAAAGAAAGATGATGCAAAATAATTGTAAAAACAGATGTAAGATCTATAGAATCAATTAAAGGAATACTAAGGCATGGAAGATATTCTTTTATTTCCTTTTAAAAGTCGTTATTATTAGAAACTTCCTAATGGTTAAATGATTTGTTTGTATAAAAAAGTAAATACAATGAAAGATGGTGATTGTTTTGGAGAAGTTTCATTATTTAGAAATGAACCAAGAGCAGCTACTTTAATTGCATTAGATACTTTACATTTGGGAGCATTGAATAAAACTAATTATTTAAGGATTTTTGAATCTAAATTAGAGAAATTGAATTTTACTTTGGGAATGCTTAGTAAAATGTTTCCATAATCATCTAAAGAAGTAGTTATATAATTAAGTTTTGATTTTCAAAGAAAATTATTTTCTATAAATTAGACTATTTTTAAATAAGGAGATGTAGTTGATGGATTATATTTGATATTTTAAGGGATAGTTGAAATAAGTTCTGATAATGTGAGAGTCAATTAATTTAGTGAATGTCAATTTGTTGGATTATTTGATTTAAAAAATCCTGGTTTAAGACAATATACTGCTACTTCAGTATCATATGAAACTATTATATATTTTTTACCAAAGAAATAATGTTCAGGATTAGATAGATTTATGAGAGAAAGAATTAATGATTATAGAATTAGTAGTGATGGATTTAGATAAGATTGGGTTAAGAAATGTCATAAGATGATTGCAAAATAATAATAAGATACAAATAAAGTTATTTTAAAAGATATAAATACAAAAGAAATATTATAAAAATGTATTACATAAAGAGAATCAAAAACAACTTCAAATACTATAAGTAAAGATAGAATTAATTAAATTGTTGAATATAATAATCATTAATGTTCATTAAAAGAGAAATTAAAGAATGTGAAATTATGTTTATAAATGAGAGATTTTGATAAAGAAAAAGAACTTGTAGAAAAAATGATGAAATAATAATATACTTAATTACCAAGATTGAGAGAAAGACCAAGAAATCTATTTGAAACATATACAAATTTGATGTCTAAAGTATCAAAATTAAGTTTAAGTCCAAACTTTTAGTCTCCTAATACTAGTGATCATAGTATTAAGAATATACATGTGGAGAAGAAATTATAATAAAGATTAAAAAAAAGTGAACAAATAATTAATTAAATTATGGGAATATGATGATTTAAGAGCATACTCAAAATTGAGATCTATGTGCTATCAATATTCCCTAAACAAAATTGTTTTTACATTTCATTATTTTTACATCTAATAATAATATAATTAATAGTAATACTTAAATCATCTATTGTATACGTTATAATTCATTTTAAGGTACAATTACTGGCTTAAGTTTCTTATCTTTTTGATTCATCACACTTGAAAATTGAAAATGTTGTAACAATGCAGATCTACCCTGTATTCTTGCATATCTCAATTAACAAATCTAAAAAAGAATAAGAAATTTAATTACTTTTTCACTATTAAAATGAGGCCACTTCTAACCATGAAACTCATTATGAAAAGATGTTATCATATGACTATTAACAAAATTTATGAATGCATAACCCATATTACATTTATTCTAAAAAGATTTTAAACTATTTTATACCTTAAAATCTATAGGTAGATAAAGGAAATCATAAGATGCTGAATGATTATAATCAATTAATTCTTTGAGCATTTGAATTGTATATTTATTTGGGATATTTTTAACCATGACAGTTGTTCTTGTGTCTCCTTCAATACCATCAATTCGTACAATAAAATTATGGGAATCCTCATCCGATATCGTTTTACGTTTACGTCTATGATTGTTCTCATAGAATTAGTCTTTTAAGGATTGATTATTATCAAGAAATTCTGGTTCAAATATTTCTGTAGAAAGATATGATTTATAACATGAATCTACAAAAACATGATTGATGTCTTTTATCATTTGGTCTTGCACATCTCTTATGTCTGTTTGTTGCTTCGGCAATATTACTTTTGTATCTGCGAAGGTTTACAAGACCAATACCTGAAAACAAGTCGATAGCTTAATCGATAAGACTATGTTCTTCTTCACTTGTTGGAAGTGATTCTCCACTCACATTCATATTGCAAGATCTTTCAATATCAGCAAATAATTCTTCATTAGAGCTATGCTGATTATTGCGATCATTCTTTAAGCTCTATTACTTATTTCGAAACAGAGAAGTATCACTTTAAGAAATGTAACTACGATTGCCAGGGAGGTTGTAACATTATCTAAAATTATTGAAGCTATTATTCATTATTTAATTAAATGATAATAGGTATAATATAAACAATCAAACATCTAAGTTAAATTTATACTTAAATATAATATCAGAACACAATCTAAACTATATATATTCTAAACTTAAATGAATTTATATCCAATGAAAATTAATAAAAATATAATTTATATAATATTCACATCATTAAAAAAACCATTTATAGATTTCAATATATTAAAAACCCCTTAAATTGGTTAAATTTACTAAATTATGATTAATTAATACAATAATAACGTTAAGGGAGGTTATAAGTATTTAAATTTTTTGCCTATATATAGGAAGTTGCTAATAATATAGTAAAGGAGATATTCTTGTTTCAAATCAAATTAATATCATTTTATATGTCTGACATTTAATTAAACCAATAAGTTCATGAGTGTTCTCTACTATACCTTATATTTAAAGGATAATTTAATCTCCTAAATAATTGTAGCCAAATTCATATAGGCATATTAATTATGAGCTTTAATGTCATGGCCTATAATTTTAGTTTGAATTGAAAGACTATAAAGTATTGTATTATTTAGAGATAGTGCATTCTTTGCTGATATATAAGTTTCAAATTAAACTAATGATTTCTAAATTGGCTAATTACTTTAAAAATTTAATATCTATGAAAATTTTATCATCTTTGTTTATTTTTTAAATTGAATCCAACTATATAAAGTTCTAAAAAACATATCTATAATAAAGGGGGAATTAACCATTTTAATAACAAAAATATAAATTTAATAAGTGAAAATTTGATTTGATAAAATTTTTTGCATTTACTTTGAGTGGTTTCACATGTAGTTCAAGTTTTCTATTTATTATTTAATATTGAAATTTACCTTTGCAATTCTTTTTATGTTAAACTGAATTAGTATTACATATGAATAGAAATTATTAGTATAAGAAATATACTTAAATCAATATAATATAAAATTAGAATATTTATCAAATTAATATACTAATAAAAATTGAAGATGAAACTTATTAATATTGTATCTAGATAAATTAAGGAGAAACATATAGAATTTTTGTATATTAAATCAAAATTTGATGATATTATTAAACTCACAATATAGAAAAGAAATCAGATGGAAAACCTTTTGGATTATTTATTCTTGGCTTTGCTCTTTGTAGTGGTTCTTTTTCTTTCTGAAAAAAGCCTTTTAATTCTTATGTATTTAATAAAAGCAAATCTAGGATCTTGTCATTACTAATGGACTCGCTTTTGAAGTATTTTTTGTTCCTTTATTCCTTTGAAATTTAATTTGTTCCTTGTATTTTCATTGTATTATTTCGATCAATCTAACTAGTGCGCACAGTTCTTGTTGTTTAAATTTAAAGAAATTTAGCCTTTTCTACATCATTCGAGATTGTTTATGCTGAAGGCCTCTTTCCCTTAAAGTACTAGGGTTCTGTGTCAAGGGAGATTTATTTAGTTATTGGAGTATTTAAATTTTTAAGATCTAAGAATTTTTCCTTATTTTTTATGTCGTCTTTATTATTAATCCTATATGTTGTAGGATGCTTAGATAAGATAGGTGTATTTGGTATTGATTTTTTATTAGAATTGTTAGAGTTTTATTGATGAGAATTTAATGATTTTTGAGATTTGATTTATGTTGGGTATACCTATTAATTGAAGTTCATCTGTTAATAATATAATAAATTAATAATGATTAAACAGTTGTGCTTTTTGAATGATTAATCACTTATCATATGCATAATTGAGTGTGAATTCTTAATTAACTGGACTTCTGGTTTAAAGGAAAGTTGTTGTATATCAATATAAATTAAATACTATTTAAGTTAATTCAAGATTATTAGAAATTAAGTAGAATATATTGATAATGAATTTTTATAGAGTATTAATAATAATATATAAATATAAGAGTTTCATAGCGAAGACTGCTATAAGTCTTTTTAAAAGATCTATAACACCAAAATAATTATTCATATTGTTGTCTTATATCATTCAGAAAGTACTCTTTTGAAATAATTCCTATTCGACCAATTTATTTTACATACTTATTTTTCTAATCATTATAAAATCACTCTTTGTTTTAAATTATCAATTTGATATTTTAAATTTGAGTCTATTTTAAATTCATTCTCATTTTTTAAAAAACTAACTCCAATTATTCATTATATGTATTCTATCATTATATTTTTTAAATCATTTATTTAATCATTTTTAAATTCTCCTTCACAATAAGATTTTTTTATATCTTTAACTATTTCTTTTCATCCATATATTTGCCTTCATAAAAATTACAACATGGTTCTAAATTAAAATTGTTAATAATTACCAAATTCTCCTTTAAATGATATAGTATCTTTAATTCTTTCATGACCAATTCCATATTTTATATTATTTTTTAGTTTCCATTATAATAAATGAATAGTATCTCCATATTACTTTAATTTAACATATAACTAAAAATTGTTTTATCTTATAAAATATGCTTGTATTTCAAATTCTTATACATATATTTGTTGATAAATTCATATAACTTTATTTATCATCTATAAGAAATTATATAGTTGTAAAATGAGTTATGATATCAAATCCATGTAATTAAGAATTAGATTGTATAATATTATACATACAACAATTTATTAAGAAATATGTAAAACTATTTATAATAAATTTTCAATTAATGTCCAAAACACCAAATCGGCTTGTATTACCAGAGTTGGAAAATAAGAGTTTTCGAGATTCTAAACAAATATAAGATTTAAGAAGAAAATTAGAACAATAAAAGGATACTATAAAAGAACTTGTTAATTTAGTAAAGGAGTCTAAAACAGAATAATTTTACAAACCATAATTCAATTAATCTATTGTATAAGCTAATTAGGAAAAGGATGAAGTCACTTTACAGTTACTAGAAGAAGTAAAAACATTGAGGAGATAAATAAACAATATTGAACAAGGTCCAAAACAATCTGTTCAACATCCAATTATAATTCCACAATATTTACCAGGTCCTCCACAATAACAATAATAAGTATAACCAATGATGTCTCCTTATATGTTTATGAATCCATACTTTCCTATGCCTCCTCCCTTTATGTATCCATATCAATAATCATAATAATCTAATCAAGATGATACCTACAAAAAAATAGTTCTTGAGATGCTTTAAAAAAGTAATAAAAACATTAAAGATATCAATCGAAAAAGAAGAGATTCATACTCAAGTGAATATACTGATGATCATGATGATAATAGAAGATAACATAGACATCATTCGAATGCAGATGGAAAATATTATTAAAATAATAGATAAAATTAAAGAAGAAATAAAGATAAAAAATAAATAAAAGATAGAAATCATAAAGATTAAGATTATTAGGATAATTTGAGAACAAATAGTAGAATATCTATAAATGATAGTTAAATGAGTTATAATTAAAAATTGAATGGAAAGGGTAAACGAAAGATTAATTAAAAGATTTTTACATAAGATGAGAAACTTAAATTAAAGAGAAAATTATCTGGACTATTTTGGTATATTAGAATTGGTTTAGTGCTTAGAAAATATTTGAAAAGAGTATGGTTACAAAGAAGACAAGAGTATTACAATACTGAAGCATAGTAATTAATTGATAAATTCGATCATGAATTTGTAATTGATTTATCAAATTAAATAGAACTACAAAGAAGTTTTTGTTTTGTTTGTTGTTGAATGTAACAAAAACAAGTATTTTACTAAAAATTGGAATATTTTTGATAATAAAGAAGTTGAACTTAAATCCAAATTAATATTTTCCATTATAAATATTCTTTTTAAGAAAATACCGTTTATGACCAAGAGTTCTATGACAGATGAACATAAATAATTTATTAAGAAAATATCAACTCCTGGTGGATATTTATTACCAGGTCATCCATAATTTGTAACTGATAGAGTAGAATTAAGACCAAATGTAACAATAGGGTAATTAATTTAATTTATTTAGATAAATTAATAATGAAGTATCAAAGTTGATTTAAATGGATTATATTTATATTCAAATTCTTGTTTAGAGAGTTATTCTCATACATGAATGGTATTCTTAATATTCTAAAATCCCTAATTATAAGGAAGCTATGAAAATATTTGTTACAATAATGCATTAATTGTTTATTGATCATTTTATTAATCTTCCAACATATGAAAATCTAGATTCAATTTTTAATGTATATTTTTATTTCATTATAACATAGTAAAAATAAGTTGTTTATTGTGATTTTACATAATAAAATTATATTGATGTTGCTATAAGTATTGATGATAAGCATCCAAAATATCAACCAACAAAACATTGTTGTATCCTTGGTTTAGGATCCAATGATGAAATGAGACCACTTTATGAATAGCCTGGTTATAAGGATCTTTAAATATAATTTAAAGAATATTGTGAATATTTTTATTAATCCTTAAATTTTTGATTAGACTTTATTATATAAAATATTTTATAATATTCTATTAGAATATTTAAGGATTAAAAAAAATGATGTTAATAATTATAATTTTATTCATAAATATTACAAGGATAAATGAACGATGCTAAAATAGATTTTCTTAAGTGGCTATAAAAAGAACGAAATGATCAATTTACTTAATTGTTTTCAGAAGATGTTCTATTAAATATAGAATCAGAACAAGAGATTTCTAAACTTTAAAAAATATCTTTGAATAATTACTAAAAATTAATATATAGTGGATCAAATATTCAATTAAATAAAGTAATCAAGTCTAATGTTTAAGAAATTAATCAAAAGAATAAATTTTAGCAAATAAAAATAAATGATTTAATAGGTATTCCTATATTTTTATATTAAGATAATATTTAATTAGGAGAAAACTTTCTAGATTAAAATGAACGAATAGATTCACGTAATTATTAATAACCACAAATCTAAAGATAACCAAAGTAAGAGTTTTTAAAAGAAGAAATACCATTAAGAAAACTTATAGCTATTTTAAAATGAACTATAAATTCTAAAAACATTATATATACATTTATTCATTCTTTATCTATTCAAATAGTATTTTATTCTGTTATCTTAAAGATATTAGTTTTGATTAAATAATAAATAAATAGAATTTTAAATAGTTAAATTCAAAGATTCTATTATTTATAGTACAATTGTAATTCATAATAATTTTATTATGTTTATTTATATAGTTGATTTTTAAATCTTAAGTAATTTTTCAAATCCTTGTAAAATTTTGCCAAATATTACATTGTGAATTTGATTGATAAATATTAATGTTTAATTCCACAACACAACTTGCGAATCAATTACCTGTTTTTAAAAGTCAAAACTATTCAGAATTGAAAGATTATTAAGATTTCTTAAAATTAATATAGAAATTTCACATTTAAAAATTCATGTTAAAAAGTAAAGAATAATTATATCACTATTTATCTAATTAGTGTTAAATTTAAAACTATAATTCTTAATCAGATTCAGATGGAGAATCTAGTTATGAAAATTAAGGATCTGGATAATAAACAGAGGATATGTCTAGAAATAAAATAAAAAATAAATCTGATAAAATGATAGCTAAATAATAAGATATTCTTCAAAAATAATATCCTCAAATATAAAATGAAGATATGAATTAAAAAAATTAATCTCTATAAATTTAAAAAATTGATAATCATAAAAAAGAATAAAATATAAAAAGAGCTAATCCATAAAATAATGAGATCTTAGAGAAATTGAAATCTATTCCTTTGATATAAGATTTTGATGATGAAGATATTAGATAAATGGTAAATGATTTTTAGTAGGAAGACAAAAAATAATCTAAATAAAGCAAAAATTCATAGATTTGTAAGGATACTATGATGAGAGATGATTATTAATATAAATGGCCATAATGTAGAATAAGAATATTATAAGCTTTGACAATACTTATTGAAAAAAAAGTTGCAATCCCAAAAATTCTATAAGATTTTAAAATCTTATAGAAAACTTATATATATTCATTATATTTAAAAGATTGTGATGATTTAGCTAATTAATTATGGTAAAAAGTTGGTGAGAATGTAAGTGCTGATGATTCAATTAAATATTATAGAACTAATTATAAGACAGATTAATTAGAATTAATTTTAGAAATGGTAAAACTTGTATATGAGAAGAGAGAATAACATAGAGAATAAATAATAGCAATTTGTTCAGGAATAATATTTTAAAAGAAATTAAGATAATTAAAAGATAAAGTAACAGCTAAAGCAAAATGTGCAGATAAAAAATGTGAATTAATAATTGTTTACTTAGAAAGAATAAATAATTATGTATTAACTGGACCAATTATAAATAAATATTAACATGGTAATTGTAGTGAAGCATAACTATTGCATTAGAAAATAATTAAGAAAGCAGCTAAAACACTATTATTTTCTGCTGTATAGCTTGATGTACCAATTCCTGAAGTACTTCAATACTTATCTCTAAGAAAAAGTAGATATAATGTATAAGATAGACCAGAAGAATAAGGAATATATATATTACCAAGTGTAGAGTTAGTGAAATTGATTGTTGATAAATAAGGTATGGAAGCAATAGCTTAATAATTAAAGATGAATGATTTTGATTATTTAGATTTTAAAGGTCTTGATTAATTAAATTTTGAGCATTCTAATAAGAATATTGAAGATAGAGATGAAACAGTTTTGTATTCAGTACTTTAATTAGTATTAGATAGAATAGATGAATTGGATTAATTGAGTTTTGTTGTTAATGATAGAAAATTCAAAGCTTTGTAATCAAAACTTAATGAATTATATAAGGATGAAGTATTTGGAGAACCAAATTAATAATAAGATATTCCTTAATATGTTGGAAGTGTTATGAATAAGGTGGAATCCTATATTAAATAGTCTAAGTCTTAAGAGAGAGTTAAGACAAAATTATGTTGTATAAAAACAAAATTCTTTGATTCAGAGATTATAGTAAAATAAAATAATGAAGATTTAACAATAGAATAATTTGAATTTTGTAAACAATTATTCATTTTGTTTTTATCAGAAATATCAAGTAAAGACATAGCATTTCCTGAGATATTGAGATATTTTAAATTTGTTGATGGTAGATTATTCTTTGAATTTAATTAAAAATTGATAGGAATTATGTTATTATGTAAAGCTATAAGATAATATTTCATTTCATGTATGTAAATGGATGGAGAATTTGAAAAAGAAATAATAGATGATAATAAAATAATGATTAATTCAGTTCCATTATTAAAATTAATAATAAAAGATGAATTCTTACCTGAAATATCTGAAATATTTACAAAATAGATTTCTATTTTATGTCATAATAAAGAAGATTTATACTTAGATATATAGGAATTAT